GAAGATTTCTGTCTTCTGGGTTGTTGCGCTGTGTAGTCTGGTCGAAGTTTACCAACGTTTCAGAGGTCATACTGCCTCCATCATCAGGGTGATTCATCACCTCCGAAACGTTGGTAAACATCGACCAGACTACACAGCGCAACAACCCAGAAGACAGAAATCTTCATACTCATCGCTGTGAAAACCTCAAATCACTCTTACCTACTTATCTCCTTAATTAACAAAAGTAAGGAGCCAGTTTCATTGTAATATAAGGGAGACTTAATCATTCTTCTCTAAATTCACAAGCTCCGAAATTGTATCGCGTACTAAAATTACACACATCGTCATGCTCTGATTGCGATGTCAATTTAGAGATATTGAAGAACCAACTTGTTTGATAGTTCCCACATTGGTCACTAGGTCGCAGCACCTCGATATCTGCCTTGCGACTTACCGCATTCATTTTATTTTTATAGCTCGTAGGATATTCAATAATACGATTTTGAGGTCGTGCAGATTAGACCAACCTCCACATCAGATTTAATCCAGATTTGTCCAGTGGTTCTCCAGTCGAATCGACTGGACAAACGACAGTCCATAATGCCTTCTCGCTATGCACTTCGTGCAAAGAACCCATTGCTTATGTAAGGTTTGGAGTATGAAAAAATGTCTTTATATGTGCATCTTTCGAAATAAATATTTTCAAAATGTCTACAGTTTTTTCAGTTTAGGCCAAAATCCTAAGTGATATGACACATTTTTTTCATGAATTGCTATTAACGTTTACCATTAAAGATTATAGAACATGTAACCTGACCGTGATTAACAACGCGTTAGACAAAGAGGAGCCAAGGAGATAACACAATAGAAGCGATACCTAACCTAACCTAACCTAACCTAACCTAACCCAACCTAACCTAACCTAACCTAACCTAACCTAACACAACCTAACCTAACCTAACCTAACACAACCTAATCTAACCTAACCTAACTTAACCTAACCTAACCTCACCTCATCTCACATAACCTAAAATAAACTAACCTAACGTAACCTAACCTTCCTGTTTGTGACGAGATAAAAACAAATTCAATCAGTCATTCTATGGTGTTTCGTATTCTTTGAAAAGTCAATTGTTACTCGTCTTGTTTAATGAATAGCCCACTTTCTTTATGGAACCCGTGCGTTCATCACCGTGTTCAAAAATCCCCGCCTCCGTATTCTATCCTGAGCTAGCTGCATCCAGCTCCCTCCATCGATTCATATCTCCATAAAGTCCATCTTAATGTTATCCTCCCACGTACGCCTAGGTCTTCCCAGCGATCTCCCCCCTTCAGGCCTACCAACCAGTACATTGTAAACATCTCTCCCCTCCCCCTTGCGTGTCGCATGTGCCACCCCCTCATTCCCCTCGATTTAAACACCCCCAACAATATTAGGTGAGGAGTACAGGCCGTGAAGCTCATAATTATGAAATTTTCTCCATGATTAGTCTCCCTCCCTTTTAGGTCCAAATATCCTCCTCAACATTCTGTTCTCAAAGGCAACGTAATCTATGTTCCTCCTTAAAAGCGACTGACCAAGTTTCAAACCCGTACAGCACAGCTGGTAAAATTACACTTTTGAATATTTTAACCTTTAGTTCGTTTGATATAAGGATAACATATTTTGGACTGAATGGGTTTAATTAAAGATCCCTCAGCTGAGGCTTTAGTCATTTATTTTCAGGTGATTGCTGATTTAAATTCTTCCGCGCGATATCGGTCAAAGTTAATGTAATACACCGATGAGTCCGTGATATCGTTTCAACTTGCAACAACTGACGACTCCTCTCAAAAGAAGTCTGCGTCTCAAATACATTAATTTCTCCGAAATGTGAAATGTTGTAATATCATTGGTTGGACTTCCCGCTTAGTTTTGTGATTGGTGGAATATTTTAAATCTAAGTCTCTGATTGGTCGGTTCGATACCCGAGGCCAAGTTTGACAGTTTACATCGCGTGGTGACGCTACTTTTGTATAAACCCAATTAATAGGGGTCCGACCTCCTCCTAGGGGTTAAATACTGCAATGACCAGTTAAAAGAAGTTTCGAACTTCTTGGATGTGGATTTTTCGAAAGGACAGATGACAGTGACCCTTCGCGACATGTGCGGGAGTGCGGGAGTGAATCCTTGATGGGTGGTCGTAGTCCGAGCTCGACCTCATGGCTAGACGATTACAGTTGGTTCTTCCTCAGGCACATGGCACAATTACCCGGTATATTTGAGCAACTCAGCCAAATGAATTTTCAAAATTCTTTTTAAAATATCACACGTAGATTAGAAATCGATACAAAATTCACAGTCTGTTGCCTTCATAATGACGTTTTTGTAAACGATGTTCATAAATCTTCCCCTAATACCATGAAGACGGTTTCGTAAGTCGAAACATGTCGCCACAAGTGGATTTATTTAATACAAGACCCAAGGTGAAACTTATATTGATGAATGGTAATATTTTATATAAAATTAAACGTCTTTAAAATAATTAATTTCAATAAGACTTCTTGAGCAGAAAATATTTCTCTTTATTTTACACCAATTCCTAGTTTTCTACATTATTTTCGTAAGGAACGTAATTAAAATTAATGTGTTCGTCGGGGTTGTAATCAACTGCAAACTACCAGTCCAAGTTCATAGTTCGATTCCTTAATGGGCTGAAACTTGAGATGAAAAGATAACCAGGCTTTGGCATATTAATCCGGTTTATACAAACGAAGGATGAGATTATATTTGGAACGCCTTACTTCATCCAAATGTGAATTGATTTTATGAATTTTGGCATTGTTTAATGTATTAAATTGGAAGAGAGAGAGAGACATTCACAAAGCTTTCGCACTCGTAAAAGTTGTTTACTCAAGCCTTTTCAGATATAGAATGACGTTTGCCCTAGAACAGTCGCCTTACAGCGATTGGGACCAATGAAATTCGAATATGGCTTTTCGGAGCGTTTCCGACTTTATTATTATTATTTATTATTGACTGCAAATGGGTTTATACCCGGTTGCAGTGACCTACAATAAGACACAACAAAAACAACACATCCATTAATCAATTTCAATACTTTAGATTAGAATATAAAGTCCGCCCTCAGTACATGAAAATTTTATCCCAAAGAACTTCGAGACCAAGACACTTCACTCCCCTTATCACCATTTAGACCGCCACGGTGGTCTAGCGGTTAGAACGCTGGCCTTGTAATCCTGGGGTCTCGGGTTCGATTCCCGGCGGTGCCCGAATTTATAACTTGTGTTGGGCAAGGCCGTGGTCTAGGCAACACGGAGTTTTCCTCCGGGGGCTTCCCCGGTTTCTCCGTGGCATCCCAACAATTACTCCATCCACACACAGAAGAAGGCAATGGCAAACCACCTCTGGATCATCTGCCAAGAACGTATATGAACAGATCCCAGTCCGAGAAAAGGATGGAAGGATCCTGGTCATATGGACCTGTCGTCAGACAGAACACTAAAAAAAATAAAACGTCCTAAGAGAAATTCCTCAAGTCCACACCGGATGCCGCAATTTTTGTAATCAGCCACTCGTGCGGGACTAAATCGAATGCCTTTGAGAAATCTATTAAAACCGCATCAGTCCTGATTCCCTCGTCCAATGAACCCAGCAACATCCTGACAAACCCTGGTCTAAACCCATGTTGACCCTCATATAACTACTCACTCCTTTCCCAGACTTGCCTTAGATAACCTGCTATAACGTGTTCAATTTGCTTGTAAACCAGAGGTTAAACTGACCGGTCTATAGTTCCCAACTACCGATCGATCGCCCCCTTTATAAATAAGAACCACTATTGCCTTCTTCCAGTCCCCTGGGATAAAATTGTTCATCGTTACCTCCAGCAGTGATGAGGTTTCCTTTAATGTCCTTGATTGCAGGAATAGTTTCTAATTTACCTTTACGTCTTTTAACATATTTGTTAAAACTCTGTCCAGTAACTGGAACAGGAAAGAGCATTATGAAAAAGTCAGAGAACATTCACTGCGTTATTTGCCAATACTCAAATTAAAGTCGAACTTCTGTATCACACACAGATTGCTTTCGTAGCCAGGACGTGCAACTTCGGCGTCTGTCCGTGCCTTCCCCTCGATCTGAGCGCTTGCATCGTGCTTTTGCAAACGAGTTAGTGATTCAGTTAAAAGGTTGGCCGCGAGGTGTCACGAGCTGCTACCAACAAGTGAGACACGTGTGCTCCGAAACAACTTCAGCTTTCGACTGAATTGAAGGCATCAAATATTAAGAGGTTAATGAGTTCTCTTTTAGCCACTTTTATGGACGAGTGCAGTGAATTCGATGTCTTTAACCTTCTAATCTAATGTCCCGTTTGTTTAGATTAACGCAGTGATTTCTGTCTAATAAACTTCAAAGGAAAAAGTTGTGTTGTACGTGATTTAGTTCAACATTTCAAATACGCGATTCAATTTTGTTCGATCATTCTGCGTAGTTTTGTCAGAATAAATTAAAATAAAGTTTATGCAAGATGACGACCACAGCCGGTTTTGGGCATCACGAGTTCTTGACCATGGTTCCGGCGCTTGGGGCGCCTGCAGCGAGCAAATTTCAAATTAAAACTGAATAGAAATTATTTACCATCACAGACTTTGCTTCGAGTGGCACATAATCGGAGCAGAACCTTCAGTGAATGCGTCGTTAAATTGTTCAAGTTGTTGGACATCTCCAACCTGAAAATTAAAGTTTACAAAACAATAATCTTGCCTGTTGTTTTGTATGGGTGCGAAACATGGTCTCTCACTCAGAGGGAGGAACACAGATTGCAGGTGTTTGAGAATCGGGTGTTGAGGAGGATAGTTGGGCCTAAGAGGGAAGACGATGGGGCGTGGAGAAAACTGCACAATGACGAGCTTAAAAATCTGTACTCCTCCCCCAATATTGTCAGGGTGATTAAGTCGAGAAGAATGAGATGGGCTGGGCATGTAGCGCGCATGGATGGGGCAAGAGGTGTGCTCAGGGTATTGGTTGGGAAGCCTGAGGGGAAGAGACCGCTAGGGAGACCTAGACGTAGATGGGAGGATAATCTCAGGCGGGATCTATGGGAGATAGGAGTTGAACGAGACTGGATTTTGTTGGCCCAGGGCAGTGTCCGGTGGCTTACATGAACTTATATTAGCAGAGAATTTTTGGTTGAGATAAATTCTTTACGTTGGAACAAGAGTCATGTAGTGAATTTCTGTAAAACATTGCTCAGTATCTATTGGAAGATAAATTATACCAACATAATGATCTACAGTTTCTTTTATTTGTTTGTTGTGGTTAATACAAAAGGTAGGAAAATTTTTCTGCAGACTATTGCACATGTAATGTTGGCTTTGCCAACATCAAAATTTATAAATCAATGAATTGTTATATCTGTAACACAAATTAGCATTACAACAGTGAACCTCCAACCATAGTATAACAATGCCAGTAAACGCTCTTGAAGGTGTAGAGAGTTACTGAAGATTCTGGTACATTCTTTCATGCACATAACGCAATTTCACTATGGCCAGAAGGAATACGCTTGAAATTGAATATCTGCAATGTTCCCCACACTGCATAAGAAATGCCGATCATTTCAGTGCCACGAAAAGAAGTTATGAAAAGAAAGCCGAACTTACTAAACGTAATCATACGCCTGTCACAGACATAAAACTAGTTTAAATCCTACTTACTGCCTCCTAATTCCACGTATACTGACCCTTTCGTATATTACATAGGAAGGCTTTTGGTGACAGTTTCCTAACATTGGCATTTACCGAAGATACAGGCACAGTTGGTACGTCGATTTTAAGATGGATGTCTTGGGATATAGATTTGTGTTGTTTGGTAGGAGTTTACGAACGTTTCGGAGGTAGTAGCTATGCTCAATATATTGTACATTTGAACTTTTCATAATCTTAAAGTGTATTTAGTTATGAAGCTGTGTGTAATACATAAATAGACTTTTGGTAATGTTTGTTTTTCTGTGCTTTGATCTAAGATGTCCATATAAACAGAGTTGAAAATATGTAAACATCAATAACGGTTTGGATAAAAACAATGCGAAGTCAATCTGTTATTTTACATAGTAACAGCAATGTTGTTATCTGTGGCGACAATGTTACCATGTTGTTTGTTTATTGGTTTTGTAGATCACGTGATCATTGTTTACATGTTGTTTGTTTATTGGTTTCTGTGTAAGTTTTGTAGATCACGTGATCATTGTTTATCAGTTCAGGGAGGAAAGGATTTGTAGCACCTCAAGTGAAAAAGAATTGCTTTGAAAGTTGTACATTATGGCCGCCTTCGGTGCAGTAATTGTTCAAGTATTGTCATTGATTAGGAAACTTTTAATTCAAAGGAAAAACCAGTTACTTTCAGTAAATGATGTGGAGTGTTTCCTTGAAGAACTGGATGGATTGTCACCCTGGGTAAGTGTGTGTTTCAAATATACATGAAATTAAGTATGATTTTAGCTGGCACTCACTTCATCACCAGTTTAGAAATTGTGTCTGTCTATTTTGTGCTATTTGCTGCACATAGCCAGTTCAACTGGAAGACTTTGGGAGGCAGAAGTGAAGGGCATTGTGTTTGGCCTGACATTAGAGTCCTGTTAATTGTGTATATCACAATCTCAGGAACATAACTTAGAATTTTATTTTCCTGCGTAAGAATAATGAAATATAAAACAATCTATGTTATGTTTGACTTAATGTGTGCTTCTTTAATCATTCCTGATATGAGGTGTCCGTTGTATAATATGATATAATGAATACTTCCATCGACACAATTTTCTTATACATTATGTATTAGTGACAACTGCATGAAAGCCACATGTTTAGGTATAACACTTGGCCATCATCAGGTGGTATATGATAATAAAAGGTTACCAGCTGAACTTTCAGACATGTCGTAATAGACTGTGTATTAAAAGTGTTTTTTTTTAATTACAGCAACAAAACAATTCCAATTGTTAAAATAGAATGTATGTTAGGTTAGGTTAGGTTAGGTTAGGTTTAGATATTAAAAATTAAAACATTAAAATCACTCTAAATCTCTTTAATAGATTTCATGTTATGAGGTAAGAATATTAACATTTTTTAATAAGGATGCATTTCTGATTTTAATATTGTAATCTTTCATTACACATTCTATTAAAATATGTCTTACAGTTAAATTTTAAACTTTTTTGTTATAATTGTATGCCAGATGATGATGCTCAGATGTTGTATTGTGTATTCATTTTTTGCATCTACTGATATTAATATTTATTATATTTATTAAAAATATATTAAAATTGGCCATCAATCACAATATAAGATAATTAAAAGATTATAATATCATTTTACGTTCCTTATCGAGTACTCGATTTACATGTGGAACATTTACGACATGTTTCGGCTATATATAGCCTACAATATCTACAATATCTTATAATTTATTATATTGTTGAAACATGTTTATGCCATGTGAAGTGTTATGAAGTTCTGAACTGTTGTAACTACATTGCAGACACGAGGAGGACTTCATTTTCCTTCCTTCATCATAATGGATGTACAGTTCCTCTATCACACTCAAGGTTTTCCTCAGAAGGTAGGTGAGTTGAGCAATTTTGTTGATCATATCTGTCATGTTCTTTGTCCATATGAATGGAATATAAAGCCGTGTGGGGGTGAAATGGTGGCAGATGTGAAACTTGCCACTCCGCTTTGATCAGTTTGATGCAACGTAAATTTGATATTGTTTTAGATGCTTTTGACTGTACATTTGGTAAAATGTAGAGGAGAACAAAGTTATTCTAATATTGGCGTGTGCAGAAAAATAGTTTTATTATTATTTTTAAGCTGTCTTCTTATTCTTTAATTGCTTTCATAAACTGACAATTCTTAAATTCTGAATAAAATGTTTTTCAGTTGATGCTACAAATTCATATGAAAATATCAGTGCATAGGATGGATACCGGTGTGGATGTGTTGAGGGAATTATCCTGTTTTAGTGTTTGTGGTATGATTAATACGTGACAAATGCTAAGACTCTTGAATCATTGTTTGTTACAAAAAGTTGACAGTGGAACCACGGTTCCGGAGAATTTGACGTAAATACTTCTATACGGAAAGGAAGTTTATATATTGGCTTTATTCTAAATATTTCCTTTATACCCGCTTTACAATTGAGATAAGTTTGATTAAGACATTGCTTAATCAACTTGAATTAGTTACGCTTAAGATGGGTCTGTGGTA